GAATAGCTTTCTACCAACTCAATCACTTGTAGGGCTGCAGAGTATTTCTTTGAATTGACTCATTCTAAGTGGTGGCAAGTGGCAACAAAACTACCCCAACTCCCCAACTGCCTGGGCAGGAGCAACCTAACCTATTAAAAACTCTGCAACATTTTCCTAGTCCTTTGACTTGTGGTTTAATTTGGAGGTGACAAACTGACAACTCCACATCTACCTTCACCATCATCAAAGTCGGCTTTGTAATGCAGACTGTTAAATGTTTTCATCTTTCTAGAATGACATTTGTATTGTTGATTCGTACGTAAATTGTATAGCTCAAACACGTAAATTGTATAGGTCAAACTATACTGCCGTTTTCATCCTAATAGAAAGACATCTGTATTATTTTCTCGTCAATTATATATGTCAAACTATACTGCCTTGATTTTCATATTATAGTAGTCACTAGTCACAGTTTATTATTATTATTATTATATAAAAAATCAAATAAGTAAATAAAATATATACACATGAAAATACAATTAAGTCACTAAATTAAACAAACTAATTAGTAGTCCATCAAACAAGTAAAAATGGTGAACTCAAACCATATTAGTCAGTCAATTATTGGTAATATGCAGAATTTTTAGTTTATGATTGACGTGGCATCCTAAGTATCAATTTAAATTTTAAAAATTTTCACTATAGAAGATTTGTCATTATTTGTTTATTAAATAAAATATTTTTTCTCAAAATTTTTATTTTTATTTCTTTCTTGCTTACCTTCACCTTCACACCAACTATTTCATGGTTTTCATAGATATCTTTGCTCTCAAACATCAACTATGTTGACCAAGAAGGGAGAAAGGGTGACATGGAAAATAAATTTTCTAAAAAATATTTTAAAGATTGTTTTAAAAAAAAAGTGCCATATAAACGAGAGGCATGCAATAGTTGGGTGGATCATAAATAGCAAGTACATTTTTAATATATTAAAAATACATTACTTTTTTACTGAAGGTATATTATTTTTATACTGAAGGTACATTATATAAAATAATGTACTCTTAGTATATTAAAAATGTAGTTTCAAAAAATGTACATTACGTACATAAATAATGTACCCTAAGTATAATGTACTTTTTATTTATAGTCTTCACAATTGTGTGGACCATGGTCGATGTAATAATGATTTATTTTAGCCGGATTGCATGATTTTTACTTGTTTAAGAAGTTAATTATATTTTTTTAAATAATTGAAGTTAATTGTATTTTTTTAAATAATTCAGTAGCTTATTTGTATTGTCGTGTAATACTTAATTCAGTGGTCTATTTAATCATTGTTCTTATAAAAATCACCAAGTGATCAACTGTCTCTAAGTCTCTTGTGAAGAGTTATATTGTCTCCCATGAAGGCAAAATAAAATTTGACTAAATTAATTTCATTTTGTGGGATGTGGGTGGTAAAAACAAAAAAAATAACGTTAAGATGACTGGAGTTAAACAACTCCGTACAAAATATTATAAAAATTAGTACTTTTTTATGCGCGATGCGTAAAAAATGAGTGCTCAATATTAATACCCTAATTTATTGTAAAATAATAATAATAATAATAATGTAAAATATTTTTATAAATTTGATATCTATATTTTAGAAAAATAACTAACATATAACTCCTATATATAATGTGTATATATTATTATTGAAAAAGATAACAAAATATATGGTGAATGCATGTGCATGGTAAGAATAATGGAAAAGATAACAGGAGTTATAATTGTAGGAGTATATTTAATTTGTCCAAAATATTGTAAAGTACAACTTTTATAGCATATTGTATTAAAAAACGTAACGAAAAAAACTGACATAAATAAAAGGTATAACTTTCATTCACACTTATTATGTGTTTATTCAGATTTAGATTAGATATATATTATAATTATAAGTTATAACACTACATAAGATACTTGCTCCTAGTCAAAGAAAAGATCGTGATGTATCAAACATTCAAAAGTAGTTGCATTTCTTTTATTAAAGGTTACTTAAAAGAATATATATTTTTCAGTCATGTGGGAATGAAACCCGTAATCATTACTGAGAGTGTGAATTTAACCTTATGATCTTAGTTAGCAAATGATCACAAGGAGGTAAATCGGTTTAGATTGTAAATAGTTGACCAATTCAAACTAAGAAGACTAATAAGTTGTCCCCGCTGAGAGTTGAATTTGTAAACTTGTAGTTATCAAGGCAACTTACTAACCAATTTGCTTGAGGTTGCCGCTCCTTAAAGCATATATGTTGATTCTACAATTAGTTAAACACTTGTATTTTTTTAAAAAGAAAAAAAAAACAGCAATTAGAGAGTGTTTGACAACCATGAAAGTTTAAATTTTACTAAGAATTTAAAAAGTGAAAATTTTATTCTCACCTTGGGTGAAGCCTTTGATTTTGAAAAATTTGGGTCAACAAGGAATAATCAAATTTCTTAAAATAAAACTATGTGGTCTAATGGTATCCGGATTGGACTTCCATTTAGAAGGTTGTAAGTTTGATCTCAATGAAAGCGTTATTGGTTCTTTGTGTTTCAATAAGTTGAGAAAATATATGAATGGGGTACGTACGCGTCTTTCCTTCCTAAGGGGACTGAGAAAGAATAAAACTTATTCAATTACATATTTATTCTTTCCTCCTTCTTCTTCTTCTTCTTCTTCTTCTTCTTCTTCTTTTTTTTTTTTTTTTTTTTTTTTTTTTTTTTTTTTTTGTGTCAAATTAAAAAGAAAAAAAAAATACTTTCTTATAAATATATCATATTTGTCTCTTGCTTTACCTATTTGAAGAAATATAACACTTTACCATTAAAGAGAAGATCTCAACTCACACATAAGATTGTAACTCCCAGAAAAGTGTACGTGTATATCATTATTTTATTTTATTTTTTTTGGCAAATTTTGTTTTGTACGTATTGTACTGCCAAATGTATTTTACTTATTGCAATATATGCTTATATAATATATATTTTACATTTTAATTTATATATGTATTTAGTATGAGGAAATTAAAATTCTATGAAATTACAACTACTTCACTTTTTGAAATTAGAAATCCCACGCCACCCTCTTCGGCAAATTATGTTGTGGACCCGTGTCCACCTTGCAAGGTGGATCTAGATTATATTTACAATTTTTGAATTTTATATTAAAAAATTTTGAACTCTATATTCACAATTTTTGAACTCTATATTCACAATATTAGAACTGAATATTCACAATTTTAGATTTCAATACACAAAATTACGAGAACTCAATATTCACAATTGCATAACTCTATATTCACAATTTTTGAACTCTGTATTCACAATTTTAGAACTCTATATTCACAAGTTTTGAACTCTATATTCACCATTACAGAACTTTATATTCACAATTTCATAGCTCTATATTCATAATTTCATAACTCTATATTCACAATTACAGAACTAAGTATTTACTCGCTGAATTGTTTTCAATATTTTAAAAAAAAATCATTGATTGTGAATATCCAGTTCTAAAATTGTGAATATAAAGTTCAAAAATTGTAAATATAATATAACCTGGATCCACTTTGCAAGGTGGACCCCGATCCATGGCATAACTATCCACCCTCTTCCTGTCTCTCCAAGGATTTACAATTTCATGAGTTGTGAAAGAAAAAGCTAAGTAAAACTTTGGAACTAAAATACCACTCTTTCTAGTGCACGATGAACGTGTAAAAATGGGCATTAAAATTCAACGATATGATTAGAGTACCATAGTGACGATAATTATGGTCACTATTAGTCTACTATTTATCTACCATCATTATAAGTTGCACTAGTTTCATTTCATTATGTCGGGCTGAACCAAGCAACTCTACTATGCTCAATTCCTTCATGATAACATCACCGAATTTTTTTTTATTTTCTTTTAGAAGGACCACAACTGGTTAAATTTTAAAAGTTGAAGGTTCATGAATGATTAATTTGAACTACGGATGATAACAATTTAAAAATCGAAGGATCACATGTGGTCAATAGGAAAGTTTAGGGCCCCATAGACATTAACTCTTAAGAAATATAGTACTCCGTAATAGGAGTAAAAATTTTTTGTTAATTAGATTAGAATTTGAGTAATAATTAATTGATGTATACTCATTATTAATCAACTATACTAATTTTTTTGATACATCAAATTTCTCAATAACGCTAAATTAATCTTAAGCGCATCAACCATACTAATTTGAGCAGTATAAGTCATGTCATTCTATCAAGAATAGAACTATAGAAGTAGTCACCAAAAAAATAATAATAATAATAACAATAATAGTCAAATTTATCACACTCCAGAATACATATGACTGTATATGAACTTATGAAGCAATTATATGGGTTAATTAAATAAGATTTTCCCACCTAAGCACAATATGTGCTTATACGTTGTCGCACTACAAAATTTACTCCTTTTTTGTTTAATATTGTTGTATATACATTATACACTTTCATGATTAAAAGTGAGATATATTAGCACTTTTTGTTTTATTAGTTTGTCAGCTTGGTAACCACAATATCTATTAACTTTCTCAGTTAGAATCGGTTAGCTCGGTTTGAGTAAATTAACTCTTTTTAAAATTTTATATTGTAATTCAAGTTTAATATTATAAAAAATTAATTTGTAAATAACTTTAATAAAATATTATTAACTGAATCAAACATATAAAATGGATTAGAGGAATTATATTTTCCCCGCACAAATGAAACAAGTCCTCATTAAAGAAACTATAAATATCTAGGCCATTCCAAGCTAATAAGGTTAGCAAAGGGATGCAATAGTAAATCATTTAGGGGGAACATCACACAGATGTAGAGAAGCGGGTAAGAAAATAATGGTTACCTATCATTCAATTTGCACATTTATTGACTTCTTTATAAATATGACTTATTGAGCAAAATCATTCTCCATTAAGAAGATCCCAAATAGCATCAATAATGAGTAATTTGATGCACATAGAAAAGAAATATGTTTATTTATTGATATCAACAAAGAGAGTACATCACATCATATATATTTCACATATAACATAGAAAAAAGTTTCTTTCTTTTCACATCTATACACATGGCCACTCCTATTACTTTGCCTCAAAGTGCTTGTCCCCATCCTTGGCATATAGGAGTAGTACAACCTACATAATTTTTTTTCTTGATTTCGGTATGGCTCAGCTCTCTAATTTGGTTGGTTGGTTGGTCCAAAACCACAAAAGTGGGCAATGTTTTTTCACTTGGCCTGGCCTGGCCTGGAATGGACGCTTGGCGAATATTCTACCCGGCCACACTACATCTCAAAATCTACCTTAACTTCATCAATATAATCACCCAGGTATCATGATACCTTTGTATAACATGACCACTAAGTATATGTAGTAGCGCAATTAAAATCCTCGTCGTGCGTCATCGATCACTTTCCCTCTACCACCTAGCTACCTACTTTCTTGAATTGAACCATAATTAAAATTAATTATTGTGGTTATTCCCAGAGTCTACCGTGTCGAAAATGTGCATTTCTGGGTCGTTGAGGCAGTCGAATCCGAAATCCTGGATCCCAAAGTCCTGCTGGCAGTTGAATAGCCACCCGAAGTTGTCGTCCAACAACGTTGGGATCTCGAGATCATCGTTGTCGTCGAAGATTAACGGCGGCTGGTGGTCGGATGGAAGTGGTAGGTCCCACTGCGCCGCATCAGGCATGGGAGCATGGTTTTCCAGCAGGGAGCTGAGCAGTGGGTCGTCGTCGCCGCCGCACATGGCGTCTAGGACGACCACCGCCTGGGATTCATCGGTGGTGGCGGTGGAAGAGGAGGAGTTTTCAGTCGGTGAGCACGAAGAGCTTTGCTCCTCTGAGGTGGCTTCTGTAGGTACTTGCGTTGTTGTACTCTGAGGTACAACTTGTACCTGCTGCTGACCATTATTTTGGTCTAATTCTGGCAAAGTGGTCGCCGCATGAGATGTTGTTGTTGTTGAGGATTGGTCATCACTTGTTGGCTTTGTTATTTCTTCCTTGTTGAGAGGTTCATGTGTAACTGGATCAATCCCCATTTTCAAAAGCTTCTTCTTAATATGAGTGTTCCAATGATTCTTGATCTCATTATCAGTCCTTCCTGGCAATCTTGAAGCAATCTTGGACCATCTGATTAATCAAAATATAATCAAACATACATTACACTCAATTCATATAAAAACAATTAAATAGAAATATAACACTTTGCTTCAAGTTGAAGCCCAGCCAACCAAGTGATATATTAATTAATAATATTGTATATATTGTTCTGGTTACTAGTCCTGGAAGCATGCATGCATATATGTATGTACGAAAAGTAAGATTAAACATCAGTGTATGCAACAAGCCTCTTTTCACCAACCCTGAATCTTATTAATAATGAAATTGTCATCATCCAAAAGGGATTTAAAGTCTACACTAATTAATAAAGACAAAGAAAAGATAATTAATAATTGAATCTTGGCTAGCAGTCCTTTTTGAATACATATCATATTTGGGTCCATTATTACAGGAACAGCTAATTGCATGCAATCTATATATGAGTTACAAAATATTATTTGATAGGAAATTTTATATTTCATTTACTCGACAAACTAATGATAAACGACGTGCCGAAATATATGTATAGTGCTGATCGATCGATATAGGTGTTGACTCTTTGTGCTTCAATAGATTGAGAAAGTAGATATGGACAGATATTATATTATAACAGAGTCAATAGTACTAAAAAAAAAAAAATAGAATTTATAATTACTAACCTGTTACCAAGATGAGCATGGAGGTCAATGACCAACTGCTCCTCAGCATCACTTAGGAGTCCTCTCTTCAAGTCAGGGCGGAGGTAATTGGTCCACCGGAGGCGGCAGCTCTTGCCGCAACGGCGGAGGCCGGCGAGCTTGGGGACGGCCCGCCAGCAACATTGGCCATTGGTGATGATGAAGCTGATGAGCTTCTTGTCTTCCTCGGCAGTCCATGGGCCTTTCTTAACTCCGAGTTTGTCACAACAAGGTTGTCTTCCCATGATAGCTTAGACTCCGGCCGGGTGGGTTTGGTTTTTGTGGTCTCCTAAGAAAGAGTTTAGTTTGTGTGTAGAGAGTTCAATATTTGTTGTTGAATTGCTTACTAAAATTCTGAAGTCGCCTGCCCTTACCCACCTTTATATACCAATCCTCACCAACTTTTTGTTGTCAATTAGGTTGTGTGACTCACTGCAATTTTTTGTTTAGTATGCATATATATCGAAAATATATGTATGTATGTAGTGTTGGCCACACCACAAAAGCTGGCATTACACATATGTATGTTTATAAGGTGAGAGATTGTAAAATTCTATGGCCCACCATTGGGTTTGTGAAAGCTACACTTGAACTACAGCTCTTGTTCTAGCTTGTGATATCAACTCCACATTATAGGATGTGTTATTTGATCAATGATGGGTGACCGGCCGCAAGAGGAAAGCCATTTTCCTTTTTAATTTTTTGTTTTTAGAAAAAAAAAAAAGTTGTTTGGTGACCGCCATGAGAAACTTTTTTTTTTTTTTCTACCTTTTCCTCTTTTTACTATTTTACATAATAAATTCAGACCAGTCTTATAATAGTGTGATTACTGAATATCGTACTTAAAAACAATTAATAATATAAACTTCTCTTTGTAAATTTATTTTCTAAAGTTAAATATCTTACGTGTCCGTGATTAGTTTATTTTTTTTATTTGTAGTTATAGTAATACCTCCTTCAAACCATTAGCTCTTGATGAGTTGGTTTATTAGTTATTGGTTGATTTTTACCAATTTGACTCTTACTTTTAACCCTGAGTTGAACTAACCAATTAATGAGATTTTTTACTTCTTTTAGTCTGTATAAAACGTAGGGGTAAAGATTAGGGCTATGGATAGACAGTGCCCCCCGAAAATTTAGTTTACAAAAAAAGAAATTGAAAACTAAAAAAGGATCAAAACCCACCCCTACAAATGTTCCACAAATGATTATAACCTGTCCACAAATTTTAATTTCTAAAATGACTTTATGATTTTTTAATAAGAATGTGGACCAAAGTTGGTGCTATACCGATATTTTTATATAACGTACACTCATATATAGTATGCTAAGTTGTATTAAGTATCGTGATGACAAATATTAAAAGTATTTAGTACAATTCAAATATGGTACATGGTCATTGTACCTAGTACAAAAGATATTAGTAGCGATAGTGTGGAGGTTTGAATCCACTAAAAATTTAAGGGAGTCATTGAGAGACCTTGATCGATTAGAAGAGATGAAGCTCCTTGTGCGCAGAGTGTACAAGCAGAAGTGGAAACCTGTGACTGACGGGGAGACTTGCGATTTACCTTCTCCAGCGGCTCTTGAGTAGGGGCTCTGAGAGCTTAAGATTACTTTAATTTAACCAAAGTCGGGATGCAAAAAAACAAAAAATAATTAGGAGTGATGTATTTTAATTTCCTGAGACTCCGGTGTCACATTCTATTGGGGAAGTTTTGACCTGAGTGGGGTCATTTTTATTGCAAGGGGAGGGGGGGGGGGGGGGGGTGAAGAATGCTACCAAGGGGTATCACTACAAGGCAACACATGGCCCAACCCATCAAGCTGCTATTTATAGGCTCTAGTTATGCATGGAAGTGCGCTGGAAACAAAGTAGTGGGGTGGGGGGTGGACACATGCATGTGTGGCCAACATTGAAAACTAGCCGATGCCGTACATTTGTCAACCATCCAGAAGGTCCTCTACACTATATAATGCACCCTTAATTCCTCTCAAGACATATCTCTGGGTTTTAGGTTCATAACATTTCTCTTGGTCCAATGGCTTGTGATCCTCAGTTCATGAAGCAACACTAGGGTTTGATTCCTCACAACTACATTATTATTTCTAGTCTACTATTTGGGTATACTATTCTGGGCCTAACGCTCCGAGCAATAATACTATTTTTCTACCTGACATTTTGTACTGGATAATAGAAAATATTTAGGAGTGATGTATTTTAGTTTCTTTTTATAGTGTGTATTTTCACGTATATGAATCAAATATTTTTATGCTCTAAATAATAGGTGCACATGCTCTCTTTAATGATTAGTGTGAAAGTTTAAACTTATGACTTTTCATCATCGAATTTAAAAATATATTCCGTTCAAATTAACCACAAGAATGCATTTTTACATTTTATATGTGTCATACTAAACACGTTTCACCCCCAAAAAAAAAAAATGCTATAACTATGTAATCTTCGTACAAACCCCCCTCCTCCCCCAAAAGTTTGAAAGGGGGAAAATGTCTTCCCATTTTACTATATTACCCTCACTGTGATTGCACGCTTACTCAACCATTCCATCATCCATTTCGTCATCGCGACGTTTACATGTCTTAATCATGGGACAGAAATCTTGTATTTCGCTAACTAGGTGAACTTAATTCTTGTCCAGTCCTAAGGACCGTTGGATCTGTTAAATCAAATCAGATCAACTTATAATTAATCCATAATTAAGTAACGGTGATTATCCTTAACGCCATATCCAATTGTAAACAATTCTTAGTTAAATTGTATTTGAGGGACAAATTGAGATAATCTTATACTCTATTCGTCTCATTTTATGTGTCGATTCAGTTAATAAAATTTGACTGAAGTTATTTGTAATTCAATATTTAATATTATTAAAGTTTAGAATTAGTATATAAAATTTATGTATTTAAAAATTACATTAAAAGTACTATTACACATCAAAGTCAATTTAAAAATTATAAGAAAATACTAATGAAAATAAGCAGCATAGATGAAAGTGTTGGTTTGATCAACGAAGTAAATATGACAAGTAAAATGGGGGGGGACCATATTGATTAAAAAAATTAATGATTCTCTTATCATTTATTATACCTTTATATTCTTTTGATCATAAAATATTGTCCCCATTTTTATTTTTATTTTTTGGTCTCGAGAAAACCCGTAAACAATACTCGAGGGTGTCCATTGCGTAAAACATGCTCCTATATAATTATCTACAAAACATATAGAAGTTGTAAATCTCACTAAAGATACTCATTGCTATGGACTCGACCAAAAATGTGTTTGTAATTAAGAGTCGAACTCGACACATATATTTACCATTTATTGGAGCACATTTAATACATTAATTAAGTTATATACCCCCCCTTTCCCTATGCAACGAATTCGACCAAAAGGGACTTATGATCTTTAGGTATGAAAATCATGTTCCATTCAATCCACTTGGTCACCCATTTTGAAGAGAGTACAAGTCATTTTTGTATTTCACATTAAATTTGTAAGTAAAAAAATTTAGAATTTTAAATTCTTGTTTAAATGATATTTTGGGTAATAAAGTTATAAACATTCTTGTATTTAAGAAAATGACTTTGAACATCTCTCAATATAATAAAGATGACAATTTGTCTCCAAAACATTAGTCTAGTGGATGAAAAATCTCACTTAAACATGCTTCTAGTGGAGGTTCGATTCGTGCCACAAACATTAAATATTTGTGTTTAGGTCTGAGTTTGAATTGGACTCCTTGTGGAATATGTAGCCTAATTTCATTAGGTAAAAATATTAGATTAAAAAAGAAGCTTGTGATATGAGAGCAAATTTAATTGGCCAGCTTGTTTCCTACATGACAGATTTTTTGCCTGTCGGCCGACAGTCAGAAACTTAATCCATTGTTTTCTCGTTCACTTTCATGATGGATGGTGTTCAGTGGGCTATTATTATGCCATTCTCTAGGTATGTTTGCCACACAATGTTGCATAAAAAAAAAAAGTAAAAATAGTATCATATTTTTTTTTTTTTTTTTTTCTGGCTTAGCTAGCTTGTTACTATATCTGCGTTAAGGTTGTATAGATTAGTATGGCGTAGAAGGCATAATGATCAGACTGACATGAAATACATCGTTCTTCCCCCCAACCAGAGGTAAAAGCTTCACTTGCAATAGAAATAAAGTTGAAGATAGGTGCCACAAGTAACTCCACATAATTCTTTGAGAATTCTCACTAAATATAATTTTATTGCATGTCCTAATAGTACCTCTTCAAATATATTGTTACTTTGCTTCTTTTTGTTATGTCAAAACCATGAATTATAAGAATTTATGTTTAATTCGTACAATTTACAGCTATAATTTTATAATTTTACTAACTCCAACAACTGTGAAATTAAACACCTACATTCCTAACACCTTTCAAAAAAAAAAAAAAAAAACACATTCCTAACAGGATAATGATTATTTAAGCCACAATTAATAATTAAAAGAATGAACAAATTTCACAATACCACAAAGTAAAATAGTTAAATAGATGAAACAATAGACGGTAAAAATAGAGCATGCACACGACTCTCAACTCTCTAAGTCCAATCCACTATAATTTCATCACAAACGTTACAAATCATAGAGGGTACAGAAGCTGATTACCAAAAACTAAATCAATTCAAGTTGATGGAATAATTATAAATGGACCCGGAGCGGGATAATATGTAGCGGACACAACCCGGAGCACAGGAACCGGACCTAAGCTGAGGTCGGCCAAGGCGGACCATGTCCAAGGTCAGCCATAGTGGACCATGTCCGAGGTCAGCCATAGTGGACCATGTCCGAGGTCAGCCATAGTGGACCATGTCCGAGATCGGCCATAGTGGACCATGTCCGGGGTCGGCCGTAGTGGACCATGCCCGAGGTCGGTCACCTCAAGGTCAGCCGCTTGGCTAAGCTCCGTGCTCACCCAAGTGGCGGGGTTTTCGTACGTCAGAGTCTTGCGGCGCCGGTTGCGGTCCAAGGCGGTTGAGAGGACCCCCAACCATTTCCTTCGGGGTTGTTATGGTAAAACCCTCATTCATGTCCTATTGATAAACAATCTATCCTAATCTACAACCCTTGTCCTGTTATTACATTGCCCAAGTCTTTGTAATAATAACTTTCCTAACTTATTAATACAATATTCGCCCCCGTGACTTATTTTCGTACATATTTCGTCCTTTTATTTCGTTATGTTCATTGATAAGTGTCAAAGACACCTAGTTGGGTCTCATTTAGGTGCATTTTGAGCTAATTATGATCCTTTGTGTACTATGTTTAGGCCATTTAAGCTATGTTTGTGCATTGTGCTATAAAATATCACCACACTTTGTATTTTATGGTTTTGTAGGACAAATTGGCTGAAAACGAGGCAAAGTGGCATAGGACGGGACAAAGCGGGAAAATGTGACAAG